CTTTTGCCAAATTTTTTTCCATGTCTGCCTTACCTACTGCTCCTTTTCCATTGCAGGATGTAATTTACAACTGCCCTTTCTCTTGCACTTCTACATATGTCACATGACTAGGAGTTGCTTCTGAATGGATGTAAAAAGACACCTATGGGGGAATGGGAATAATTAGATGTCTGCATGCACTGGCCACTGAGAGAATTTGAAGATATAGTAATTAAAATTCCTTTATGAATAAATAACAAACAAGATATAGTAATTAAAATTCCTTTATAAATAAATAACAAATAAGAATTAAAAACTGGTTCACAATCTCCCTCACCAGAACCAAGTCCTCCTTTACCCTACACTGATGCAGCCTAGGGAGGGGTCTCCACCTGTTGGATGTTCTCTCCTGAGGCTACAAATCTTGAATAAATGTCTCAAGGACAGCAGTACTGGCATCTGACCAGACTCTGCCATGACATGGCCTTGACTGTGATTCCTCTTGTCTTCCCAGACTCTTGGTCCTGCCCACTTTCTAACCCTCAGTCTCTAGCCTCCTTTTGATCTGCTCATTATGAGCTTGCAACATCCTTTAAGAAAGCCAGTTCATTTCTGTTGCATGTAACCAATAATGCTGTTGATATAACAAGTTTCTCATCCTGAATGCTGCTATCTCAATCTGGAAAAATCTCACTCTATTAACTTTATGCTAATTATTCCCATATTCATATCTTGATAGCTCTTCTTATGTTTCTTGAACACTTCAAATTTAATATATCCGTGAATGAATTCACTGTGCCACCTTGCCCACAGCATACTTTTCCTGCAATAGGTACTGTTGTAGTGAGTTACTGGAATCACAATTTACCCAATGTAAAGCCCAGAAACCTATAAGCTGTCCTGATGTAGCCCCCTCTTTTAACTTCCAGAGTCAATCTGACCTTAATCCAGTAGACTTCTTAAAACAGCTCCATTATGTATGACAAGAGTGAGTGTCAAAAGATGGGCTGAATAAGAGAGGTCTATAAACTTTCTGAAAACTATGACTACATACTTACTGTGTTCTAGGTATATTACTTCTGAGTTCAACAGAGAAAAGCAGCACTAATTTCATCTTGGAGTTTTCCACCATTTTTACTGTCCCCACGTTATTACTTAAGGTTGCTGGTATAAGATTTAGGAAGATTTCAGAATATAAGATTTAGGAAGTACAAATTGATAAGGCCCCCATAAGCATCAATCAGAATTCAATCTTTAGCCCTCAAATACATACAAATGTGTAAGGTCTCTTACACAAACACTCACATGCACACCACATGAACTTTATGAAAACATCCATTTTAATTTCAAATAAAATGTATGCTTCAATTATATATACATATATATATATAACATTATCTTACTTTTTCAGAGCCAGATCATGTTTTATAATGATTGTATTAAAAGTTTTGTGAGTTCTTATTCAAGAGAAAAATTGGAAAAAGTCCACGCTGGTCTGATATGTCATCTAGAAGAGGTTGCAGAGCTGGTAGTGCTGGATACTAGTAACTCTCGAACAAAAGCTGTACTAGGGGCACTGCTTACCCTTTATGTTCACTGCAGAGATATAGTGATAAATTTACTACTTAAAAATATCTTCAATGCAGAGGATTTTGAGTGGACAAGGTAGGTGGATCTAAATTATAACTACATACAATAACTTCTCACAAATATATCTTTAGGTAAATTGATTCTCTACCTCACACTTTGTCAAACTCGAGTTTTAATTTTGGGAACTTTACCAAAATTCTAAGCAAACCAATCTGAGTACATTAGTCCCCCTTTATCTGCAGTTTCACTTTCCAGTTTCAGTTACTGTGGTCAATTGTGGCCCAAAAATAAGTGAGTATTTTACAATAAGATATTTAGAGAGGCAGATCACATTCACATGACATGTGAATGTGAGTATATTTTTCTACTGTTCTATTTTATTATGTCATCGTTGTTCATCTCTTACTGTGCCTCATTTATAAATTAAGCTTTATTATAGTTATTTATGTATAGGAAAAGTCATAGTATGGTATATAGAGGGTCTGGAACTATATGTGGTTTGAACTATAGGTATCCTCTGTTTGGGCAGCAGCAGGAGGGGGGTCCTGAAATGTATCCCATGCAGATAAGGGGAGATTACTGTACCCTACTACTGCTTTTCCTTCTTTCTCTTTTCTACTGTCCCTCCACCTAATTTTTACTTCTTTCTTCTTTGTCTTCCCGACCTGATTAGGCCCTTTTGATAGTTACATTCTCCCATTTCCATCTAGACAGAGGGCAGTATCTTTCCATGGGCAGTCAGAGCTCTACTTCAAGCCTCTTCTTTCCACTGTGCTGTTAATTCTGGAACAGATGAGGAGAAACAAACTGAAGAACATTTCCAGCCAGCTCCCTAACTCAAAACTGCCTTCTTCCTACCTGGAGTCAATTAATAAAATATGAAAGTACAGAAAAATAGAGCCATTCTCACTTTTGGTGGGAAGAGATTGAGCATCAAGCTCCGATAATAAATGTACGGTTAGCATAAATTCTGCAGTTAGCATAAAAGTCCTGATTTTAGGTATGACAGTTTCGTTTAAACTTTAGAAAAAGAAGTAGACAGAGGCTTAAGTATATAACTGAGGCCACTGTTGACTATATTTTATCTGAATACATTATATCTGATATATATTTACATGTTCATTAAAGCATAAATGTATACTTTCTTAATTGCCAAAGAGGATATACTGTGTTAATGAACCATTACTCTGGAAAAAAAGTCTAGTGTGTCATTATTACTTTTTATTAACTCTTTTTAAAAATGAAAATGAAAAGAGGAAGAGCATATATAGAAAGGTAAACTGGAAAAGAGAAGATCCTGATAAGACTTTGTAAGTGTCTGAGTTTAGGGCTACAGTTCCCAAACTGTGTGTCAAGGTATCCCAAGCCACCATAGACAATTCACAAGGGCACTGCAAGATATTTTAACCTTTTGAGGGAATCACAGCAATGTACAACATCTATCAGACACCAAACATACTAGCAGCTCAAAATAGTTCTGTTTTAACATCAGATCATGCTACATACCTTTCAGTGACTTCTTATCCCTGCAAAGCTAGGTTTTGGCAGTTGCTCTCATAAAAAGCAAGTATCCCATGAAAATCAGTGTAGCAAACGAGATTGGCAGTATCCAGTCTGATCCCAAGGTTTGATAAGTGGTGCAGTACACAATAGGCATATCTAAGTAACTGGTTATTTAAAAATGAAATAAGGCCAGGCATGGTGGCTCACACCTGTAATCCCAGCACTTTGGGAGGCTGAGGCCGGTGGATCACTTGAAGTCCAGAGTTGGAGACCAGTCTGGCCAACATGGTGAAACCCTGTCTCTACTAAAAATAAAAATTAGCTGAGCGTGATGGTGCACATCTGTAATCCCAGCTACTAAAAGGCTAAGGCAGGAGAATCACTTGAACCCAGGAGGTGGAGATTCCAGTGAGCTGAGATCGTGCCACTGCACTCCAACCTGGGTGACAGAGCGAGACTCCATCTCAAATAAATTAATTAATTTAATTTTTAAAACATTTAATGAAATAATTTTTTTGTCAATTCATTTGTGTACCTTGTTTCAAGCAACCTACTAAATCATTAAGACAAAAATACTTATTAAACTGTTTTGGACCTAAAATTATAAAAGAAACTGTTAGATATTCCTTTTGGTCTAGGGTCATCATGAAAATATTACTGGGTTACTAAGAGTGCAGTGAACTGAGAAAGTTTGAGAAGCTCTGTTCTAAGGGAATACTAATAGAAAGGCAAAGGCTCTGGAAATTGATTTGCTATCAAAATAATGATTTAGCACTTTACTTGAATCATAAAACAAATACTCGTCCTTAGGATAACAGAATTTCTTCTTTAAAAAACATTTTCTTCCACAAGTATTATACTTTTCTCTTTCTTATGGATATATGCTCTCCCATCTGAGACTTTACAAGGTAGTTGCTTATAATTTTAAATTTTTCTTTTCTTTTAAATTTAAATTTATTTTTAAAATTTACTCACTTTTCCAGATTTCTTTATAATATTCCCTGTTGTTCCAGAAAAGATTTAAAAGGGCTTACAAGGATATGCACACTACTACATGATAGCATACGTTGAGAGTGAGTGGAATGAGTGAAGAAAGGCAAACAAAGGCAAAAACTAGTGCCTGTGTAAGAGCTTTAATGAATAAATTCTGCGAAGATATTGTACCTGCCTCCACTTGTAATTCAAAATCAAAACAGCACTAAACAATTAAAAATGTGTAGGAATGAGTTTTCACTGACAATGTTTTAATATTAAAAAAAGTAAAATTATATACAAAATGTTGTTTGATAGTTTTTCATTGATAGTGCCCAAATGTGTTTATTTTGAGAATCGAGTTAGCACTAATTGGGATATAAAATAGAGTCAAGAATTCATACCACAAAGGTTTCATACCACAAAGGTTTTGTAACTCAAAACCTTCTAGAGGTGAACATTTATGGTTAGCTACACAATTCACAATTCACAGTGCTCATGATATAAATGCAAATCATTTTCTACAAAGTTCAATTTGTTTTGATATGTAGAACAAATAGCATTTCTCTTAAGTACCCTCATAATAAGGATCCAGATTATGATAAACATCATCTTCAATCACAGTCTTATTGAAAACCATAATAAACTTCAGAGGGATGATTCTTATATAAATCCCCCATTTGGGTTGACATCACACCAAAGCAGCATAATCAGCAAGGCCATTAGTCTCAGAGGGAAGTGTGTTCACATGTTTGTATTCCTCAGTTCTATTTCATACCTAATATGATCAGTCATTGATGAGTTTTATATCACACTTCTCATTTGATTTTAATTTTTTTACTTCTATTTGTTTTTTTAATCAATGCTCCATTTTAAATCCTGATTCTGTTTCTGCATGTGAAAAAAATAAAAATAATTTAACCAAATAATATGAACATTTAAAATTTTGTTTTCAGACATTTGCAATATAAATGGAATGAAAAACAAAAATTGTGCTATGTATCTCAAGGAAATGCCAGCTTTACTTATGGCTATGAGTACTTGGGCTGTACCTCAAGATTGGTTATTACACCTCTCACAGACCGATGCTGGCTAACTCTCATGGAAGCACTACACTTGAATCTAGGAGGCTGTCCTGCTGGTCCAGCTGGTACAGGAAAAACTGAGACTGTCAAAGATCTGGCAAAAGTAAGTGGTTTCTCTATCCAGAATAAAAACTTCCTTTTTTCTTTTTCTGTCACACAAATTTTGATGGTATCTTAAATTTACACCATTCCTGCTATTAAGATGTTCATTGCATTAACAAGCACATTCATTAATTCACATATAATTAATTCATCAATGACGTTTTGAATGCCTGTTGTGTGCTGCAGCTTAGAATCTCAATAAGCCAACATATGCTTTTTATTTAGCTGGAATACTACTTTACTAACATGTGAATGATTAATATTGTTGTGTGTGTGTGTGTGTGTGTGTGTGTGTGTGAGAGAGAGAGAGAGAGAGAGAGAGAAAGTGAGACTGAGAGGGACAGAGACAGAAAGAGAGAGAGAGAGAGAGAGACAGAGAGATAAAAGCAGTAGTAGTTACTGATGAAAGCAAAGGATATCGTTTGTAACCTAGAATTTTTTCATAGTTTTAAATTCATAGATTTATGTAAAAACAAGACCTTAATGCTCTATAAACTAATCAACTGAACTGTAACAGTATATGTACATTTATACTATTATATTGAGTTTTGTGAATATCTAAATTTGATTTTTAATTCATCTCCATCTTGCAAAAGTTTTCTCAAAAACATAGACATTTTCTTACTCTCGCAGTTTTAACATTAGTACTTTGTGTCATAATTCAAGAAAGATATTAAAATATTTTTGTTTCCCAGTCCTTAGGCAAACATTGTGTGGTCTTCAACTGTTTTGAGGATCTGGATTATAAGGTAAAGCTTAAACATGTGTCAGGAAGAAATATTGTACACATAAAACGTAAAACAATTCATTGAAGAATAAAAGAACAAGAAAAATATTTATCTGAGACAAACATCAAGTATTAACAGAATTTTAAATGCTATTATTTCTTTTTAAACTAATGGACTAGAAACCTAGAATATAATAGAAATTTAAAACATTATATACGTTGCTTTTATTCAGGTGAACTACTCCTTAAGACAGTGGTTTTCAAACTTTTCAACAGTTGGATTCTTTTCAATAAAAAAATCTTACATGGAACATGAATATATAAAACAATTAAGAGTACTGCTTTATTAACATACATTTATTTTAAGTCCTAACCCCATACATTTATTTACTGAAAAGGTAATTAAGACAAGATTATGATTAACACAAATATTTGAGAGTTTATATAGATGATGATTACAAGTTCCTGTCAGTCTTGTTTTGTTTGCATATTATCTGACATATCTCATAACATTCTGAAATATGTCTCTTACAAGTCTACTCAAAGTTTCAAAATACTGCAATTTGTTTTACATGTTAAGTTCAAACATTATACATTTTATTGCTGTCATTTTATTTGTGTTCGAAGCACGTTACCTCTGAGATCCTGCATTTCCAATTTGTGCTCATTTAGTACATGAAAAATATCAACATAAATAAGCTGATCAATTATTATTTTTAAGATACTTACCAAATAGACTCTTGCCTCCTTCCTGGAAACTAGCAGTGGGGCCTATGAGGGCTCCACATGAGTGAGGCCAAAAAGCCTGCTAATTAAGATAAATAATATTTAATGCAATATTTTAAAAGTCAAAATTAATGCCCCCAAACGTCCCATGAACAAAATACCAAAATTTTAAACTAAGACAAGGTCTGATTCCTGCTGCTCAGTGGAAGGAACCATCTTCTATATCCTTCTCGGTATGAGGCTCTCTCTTACTCGTTCCCATTCCCACTTCCTTTCCTCTTTGCCATACCTAGCAATAGAGTTCAGGCATCCCTCAACTTGCATACAGCCCACAGAAGTTAGACCTGTCAATATTTTTGTTTGTTTTGTTGCTTTGTTTTAGTTGCTAACATTTACAAACCAATAGATTTCAATCCCAGACTTTCAGCCTCTCACAGAGCACTGGGTGCACCTGGTCAGCCTGGGCCTGCACTCTGGCAAGTGGCAGAAGCCCAGCAGCAGCTGCGTGCTTTAGCTGGGCCCCCTGCAGTCTTGCCTTATCTGGGCCTGTGGTTCAGTGTTTTGCATTGCCCACCGGCTGCCTGCCACTAAGCCATAAAGCATCTTTGCCTGATCCAGAAACGGCAGCCCCAGATTCACACACTTTACGCCCATCTGCCAGAAAGTTGTTCTGAAGACTCTGCCCCAGGGTGCAGCTCTGTGAGGGAAATGGCTGTCCAGGGAGGGGTCTAGTGCATCTCTCTACAATCCGTAAGAAGCTGTGGCCCTGTCTTCACGGTTCCTGTGAGCATCAGAGTTTGCTCTGCTGAGTGTTTGGGCTTTTAGAAGGGAAAAGCAGAGTAGTTGACTTGTCTAGCATCTAAGCAGCTACTGCTTTCAACCCTATAAAAATGCCTAGAAGGGGGAAACGCAAAAGGCCTTTGCTTGGTTTGGATAGCATGGGAAGAACATGTACAAATTAACATCTCAGTAAATTTTCTCACCATTATAATAATTTTACTAATCAATCTTTTTTTTTTTTTTTTTTAAAGATAGTGAGAAAATTCTTCTTTGGACTAGTTCAGTCAGGAGCTTGGAGTTGTTTCGATGAATTCAATCTAATTGATTTGGAAGTTCTCTCTGTCATTGCTTCACAGATCTTAACAATTAAGGCTGCAAAAGACAACTATTCTGCCAGGTACTTGTTGAATGTGTTTATGCCTTTTGAATTGAAATCTGATCCACACTTACTGTTTAGTTAATTATTGTTAAATATTTTTCCCCAATAAGTGTTTAGGTCTTTCAGGGGTGTGTGTGTGTGTGTGTGTTTTTAAAGCACACATCAAAGGGAATGGCAGTTATCTTGAATGTTTCCATTACTTGGCAAATAATGTGAATATATTTATAACTCTAATTTTCAGGCCAACTTAGAGGTTTCCAAATTCTTGCCCAAGCTTTGGAACAGTCTCCTGAGCTACCAGGACACTGATGCAACTATATTTTAATTATATTTTCAGCTTAAATTCTCATATTATCTTTTTATCTTAGAATATTGCATTTGAAGAACCCAAACAAATGCTGCTTTTTTAAATTTCCACATTTGTTAAACCTTTATTTTAAGTTCAGGGCCACATGTGCAGATTTGTTATATAGGTAAACTGGTATCATGGGGATTTGTTATACAGATTATTTCATCACCCAGGTATGAACTAGTACCCACTAGTAAAGTTTTCTGATTGTCTCCCTCCTCCTACCTTCCACCCTCCAGTAGGCCCCAGTATCAGTTGTTGCTCACTGTAAGTCCATGTGTTCTCATCACTTAGCTCCCACATACAAGTGAGAACATGAGGTATTTGGTTTTCTACTCCTGCATTAATTTGCTTTTGATAATGGCCTCCAGTTCCATCCATGTTCCTGCAAAGGACATGATCTCATTCTTTTTTATGGCTGCATAGTATTCCGTGGTATATATATACCACATTTTCTTTATCCAGTCTACCATGGATGGGCATTTGTGTTGAATCCATGTCTTTGCTATTGTGAATAATGCTGCAATGAACATACTCGGGCATGTGTCATTATGATGGAACAATTTCTATTCCTTTGGGTATATAGCCAGTAATGGGATTGCTGGGTCAAATGGTAGTTCTGTTTTTAGGTCTTTGAGGAATCGCCCCACTGTCTCTCACAATAATTGAACTAATTTATACTCCCACCAACAGTGTATAAGTGTTCCTTTTTCTCCACAACCTTGCGAGCACCTGTTATTTTTTGACTTTTTAGTGATAGCCATTCTGACTCATGTGAGATGGTGTCTCATTTTGGTTTTGGTTTGCTTTTCTCTAATGATCAGTGACATTGAGCTTTTTTTTTTTTTTTTTTAAACGGAGTCTCACTCTGTTGCCCAGGCTGGAGTGCAATGGCACAATCTCAACTCACTGCAGCATCCGCCTCCCGGGTTCAAGCAATTCTCCTGCCTCAGCCTCCTGAGTGGCTGGGATTATAGGCATGCGCCACCATGCCTGGCTAATTTTTGTATTTTTAGTAGAGATGGGGTTTTACCATGTTGGTCAGGCTGGTCTCAAACTCCTGACCTTGTGATCCACCCTCTTTGGCCTCCCAAAGTGCTGGGATTACAGGCGTGAGCCACTGCACCCAGCCTGAGCTTTCTTTTCGTATATTTGTTGCCTGCATATATGTCTTCTTTTGAAAAGTCTCCCTTCATGTCCTTTGCCTACTTTTTAAGAGAGTTGTTTGTTTTTTGCTTGTAAATTTGTTAAAGTTGCTTATAGATTCTAGATATTAGGCCTTTGTCAGATGCATAGTTTGCAAAAATTTTCTTCCATTCTATGGGTTGTCTGTTTACTCTGTTGATAGTTTCTTTTGCTTTGCAGAAGCTCCTTAGTTTAACTGGATCCCATTTGTCAATCTTTGCTTTTGTTGCAATTGCTTTTGTCAATTGAAAGAGTTCATCATGAAATCTTTGCCTGTTCCTATGTCCAAAATGGTACTGCCTAGGTTGTCTTCCAGGGTTTTTATAGTTTTGGGTTTTACATTTAAGTCTTTAATCCATCTTGAGTTGATTTTTGTATATGGTGAAAGGAAGGGGCCCAGTTTCAATCTTCTGCATCATTTGTTGAATAGGGAGTCTTTTCTCCATTGCTTTTGTCATGTTTGTCAAAGATCAGATGGTTGTATGTGTGCAGCCTTATTTTGAGGCTCTCAACTCTGTTCCATTGGTCTATGTGCCTGTTTTTTGTACCAGTACCATGCTCTTTTGGTAACTGTAGCCTTGTAATATAGTTTGAAGTTGGGTAATGTGATGCTTCCAGCCTTATTCTTTTTGGTTAGGATTGCCTTGGCTTTTCAGACTCATTTTGGTTTCATATGAATTGTAAAATAGTTTTTTCTAATTCTATGAATTAAAATGTCATTGGTAGTTTGATAGGAATAGCATTGAATCTATAAATTACACCGGACATTATGGTCATTTTAGCAATATTGATTCTTCTTGTCCATAAGAATGGAATGTTTTTCCATTTTCCATTTGATCAGTGTTTTGTAGTTTTCCTTGGAGGAGATCTTTCACCTCCCTGGTTAGCTGTATTCCTAGGTATTTTATTGTTTTTGTGGCAACAGTGAATGGGATTGTGTTCCTGATTTGGCTCTTGGCATGGCTGTTGTTGGTGTGTAGGAATGCTAGTGATTTTTTTGCATTGATTTTGTATCCTGAGACTTCACTGAAAGAAGTTTTTGGGCCATGACGATGGGTTTTTCTAGATATAGAATCATGGCACCTGCAAACAGGGATAGTTTGACTTCCTGTCTTCCTATTTGGATGCCCTTTCTTTCTCTTGCCTGATTGCTCTGGCCAGGACTTCCAAGACTATGTTGAATAGGAGTGGTGAGAGAGGGCATACTTGTCTTGTGTCAGTTTTCAAGGGAAATGCTTCCAGTTTTTACCCATTCAGTATGGTGTTGGCTGTGAGTTTGTCATAAATGACTCATTACTGGTGTTGGCTATGAGTTTGTCATAAATGACTCATTATTTTGAGGTATGTTCCTTCAATACCTAGTTTATTGAGAGTTTTTAACATGAAGGATGTTGAATTATATCAAAAGCCTTTTCTGCATCTATTGAGATTATCATGTGGTTTTTTTGTCTTTAGTTTTGTTTATGTAATGAATATATTTATTGATTTGCATATATTGAACCAACCTTGCACCCCAGGCATAAAGCCTAGTTAATAGTGGTGGATAAGCTTTTTGATATGCTGCTGGATTCGATTTGCCAGTATTTTGTTGAAGATTCTTTCATTGGTGTTCATGAAGGATATTGGCCTGAAGTTTTTTGTTGTTGTTGTGTCTTTGCCAGGTTTTAGTGTTAGGGTGATGCTCTTCCCATAGAATGAGTTACAGAGGAATCCCTCCTCCTTGATTTTTTAGAATATTTTCAGTAGGAATGGTACCAGTCAGCTTTTCTTTGTATATCTGATAGAATTTGGCTGTGAATGTGTTCGGTCCTGGGCTTTTTTTGGTTGGTAGGCTATTTATTACTGATTACATTTTGGAGTCCATTATTGGTCTGTTCAGGGCTTCAACTTCTTTCTGGTTCAGCCTTGGGAGAGTATGTATGTTTAGGAACATATCCATTTCTTCCAGATTTTCTAGTTTGTGTGCCTAGAGGTGTTCCTAATATTACCTGATGGTTATTTGTATTTGTTTCCACATACATTTTTTTTTTTTAAGGCAGACGTCTCACTCTGTTGCCCAAGCTGGAGTCCAGTGGCATGATCTCGGCTTACTGCAACCTCTGCCTCCCAGGTTCAAACAATTCTTATGCTGGTATTACAGGTGGCACCACCATGCCCGGCTAATTTTTGTATTTTTAGTAGAGGTGGGGTTTTACCATGTTGGCCAGGCTGGTCTCGAATTCTTGACCTCAGTGTGATCTACCCACTTCGGCCTCCCGAAGTGTTGGAATTACAGGCATGAGCCACCATGCCCAGCGAGATAAAAAGCAAAGTGGGTATACTGGCCACACACCTGAAGAGCCCTCTTGTCTTATTACTCTGAATTAATGTGCTTTTATTGAAAAGCTCTGTAATAACAGTATTTGTTAGTAATGCTAATGTTCAGTAATAAAAGCAAAAAATTTTTCTCTTTAGGTAATTTTAGTACTCATATGATTTATGAACATATAAAATTGTATTATAATCTAATATTTCTAATACAAGCTAATGGATACTAACTTGTGGCTTTTCTCTCATGGATTTTGTTCAAACTGTTAAAGCTAGTATTATAGGACTCATAAATCTGTGGATGCAGTTGCCGGGGGGCAGTCACAGTAACATTTCACAGACTCTTTGCTACACCTCAGCCTCTGCAAAGTTTCCCCCATTTATGTCCAGTGAGTTCCCCTATGTTTTGTCCCAATTGTTTTCCTGTTTTGACCACCCTCTTTGGTATCAGCTGTCCAAGAAATCACTATAGGATTTCTCCTATTGTCTCTACCACTGGTGCTGATTGTAGGACACTGATGTTCATGCCAAGCATTCTATCTCATAGTGGTCCCAGGGTTTTTAAACAGGCTAGGGACACTTGGGAGACAGGCTGTGTTCCATGCTGAAGCAGGATGTCTGTGCTGTGCCCCATTCTGTGTTCTACTATATCTTCCAGGCAGAGCTCTTTTCTTCCCTAAGAGTCTCCCCAGGTTCCTTTTACTATGTAAGTCAACTCATTCAGCTAGGTATTTTCCAGCCTCAGGTCCCAGAAACATCTTTGGACATGATCAAATACATCTGAATCCCAGCAGGGGTGACAACTTTGGCTCAGCATGAGCCTCCTATTTCTTCTTTTTTCTCTCACCATTGTTTTTTCCAGTGTGCTCTGTTTGCATTTAAATGTAACACAGCCTTAATAAAGTTTCCAAACTCACTTATAGTTTTAACATACTTTGGACTAGAGAAAACAGTGCTAGTGATGAATACTATAATATCTTTTAGATTTGTACTGGAAGGAAAAGAAATTCGTATCAATATGTCTTGTGCAGTATTTATCACCATGAATCCCAGGTGAGTATCATTGAATATAGTGGGAACAGACACAGACAAAAATCATTTTCTTAAATCTTATCTACAGATGGAGTTGCTTGACATTTGCATCTGTCCATGCATCTGCCTCCATCATCCTCTGAACACTTCCATTCCCCACACCATTTATGAACAGCTGTTCTCTGCACCTGTTCATATGGATAAGGATAATCTCACATTCATTAAGCTACTGATGAAGACATATTTTTACTTCATGCATACCCAGAGAGAAAGGAAAAAGGGTCAGCAGTTTTTCACAAAGAGGACACAGGCAGAAAAACTGATGAGAGTGGCAGGAGGAATAAGACAATAGTGGTTGCAGGGAGTGGAGGTTGGGCAGATTCAGTAAATATCTGATTGAATGCTGTAATAGTCCAGAGAATCAGAGGGAACTAATATGAGGTAAATTGTAGGAGGAGGAACAGGAAGAAAATATGATAAACCAAGAAGCTCTGTGAGATGAAAGGTTACAATAAAAACTATCTTATAAACTAATTTTCAGATAAAGGTCACATAGAACACCAATATGATTATTTTGGGGAAAAGTATGTGATTCCTCATTTGAAAAATTGAAAAGTGGTGTTTTTATTGTTTGTTTTTCTTTTCCTCTTCAGATACAAAGGTGGAGTAGAGCTCCCAGATAACTTAAAATCTCTGTTTCGCCCAGTGGCAATGATGGTGCCCCATTATCAAATGATTGCTGAAATAATATTGTTTTCATTTGGTTTCAAATCTGCAAAGTCACTCTCTGAAAAGTTAACTAACCTTTATGAATTAGCGTGCAAACAGCTCTCACAACAGGTAAATAGCTACTTTTCTCAAAATATTTAAAGGTGATTATATAAAAATAACTTTAAGTAATACTTTCTGGTATCGGTCCAGGGATGACCTGGGACTATACCAAAGAAGGGAGCTAGAATTCCTATCAACACATCAAAATAATGGAACTAGAATTTCCGTCAACATGTAAAGTCCATGTATGAGCTTTGTATAAGGCAAACTGTAAAATCATTCAAGATTCTAAGTCTTTCCTCCAAGATCCGGAAAGAGTAATTGAGCATTTGTTATTTTTAAATTATGGACTATTTTTTTCCATACAAGGAAGTTAATATCTAGAGCAATTATTCTCAAACTTTATTCTATACCAGAATCATTTGGAGGATTTGTTAAAACACAAAATGCTGGGCCTTACTCCTGAGTTTCTAATTCTGTACATCTGGTGTGGGATTCAAGAATTTGTATTTCAGACAAGTTCTAAACTGTTACTGATGCTGCTGATCTAGGTTCTACACTTTGACAATTATTGTTCTAGCATATGCCAGAGTATTTGTTGCTAATGCAAAATGGTTTGGACAGCTAACCACATTTTCTCCAAAAGTCCTCCTCTTTTAATTTTCTTTCAATTTATCTCATTCTAGTTCAAAGAAAACTTAATTCAGATACTGACATTTCTTAACACCTTTAATATTTGTTAATCTTTAAGAGTGAGACTTTAAGAGCATCACTCTGGGAGATAAATGAGAGCATTAGCAATATAACCAAGGGTTTTTTGGATTTATATCACTGTTTCCCTGCATAGCATAGATTACCTATAATTTACCTATATACTGTATGCATTTGTTTTCACATTTTTTCTTTAGAAACTTTAATAATTCAAATATTTTAATGTTTGATAGGATCATTATAATTTTGGCTTGAGATCTCTGAAGATAGTTTTAATAATGGCTGGAACGAAGAAACGGGAGTTTAAATGGTCAGTTGAATTTTGAATTGTTAGGTCAAAGGGCAGTTATATATTGGGAATATATATATATTGGGAAAATAATTTGTAGAATTACAGGTGATGATGCCAAGTTAAAACAAGGAGCCCCCAGACTGTCATAGTAAAGTAAGGCAGAGATTATTTAAGAATATGAAAGAAGAGTAAGAAAAAATGCACAAAATCAGAGTACTTTTTCCCAATAGAGAGCCTATTCTTTAAAAAAAAAAAAAAGTGTTTTACATAATAAAAGATACACTAGAACAAAAGACCTCATTTAGAAGAACAATAACTCAATGAGAAATGTAAAGCCTATATGAATATACCTATGTGACAAATGTGTAAAACCCAAATGAGGAAAACTTTAAAACAGGATTGAAAAAAAATGAAAATGTATTTAAATGAAATAATATACCACATTAATAAAATCATAACATCTTAAAGGACTTAACATCATAATGATTTAAATACTCTAAACATTAATTTACAAATGGAAATGCAATCTCAGTAAAATATTAAAAGGATATTTAGTTTGTTAATTTGCTTGTTTTTAGGCAAGCTGGTCCTAAAGTTCACATGGAAAAATGAGACTAGTTAGAAAAATATTAAAAAGCAAGAGCAATGAAGGGGAGATATCCCTTTATGTATTAAGACATATAACAAAGCTTCAGTAATTAAAACACTGTGGTACTGGCTCATGAGTAGAAAAGCAAACCATTGGAACAGTATAGAAAGTCCAAAAATAGAACTATATGCTTTGGGCATTTATTATATCATAAATCCATGGGGAAGAATAGACTTTTTAATGAATGCTTTTGGGAAAACTACACAGCCATCAGGATAAAGATCAAGTTGGAACAATTGTCCACATCATTTACTAGGATAAACTCTAAAAGGATAAAATAATTTAAATGTAAAAAATTTAAATGTATTTGAAGAAACAAATGTCCTTTGTTCTTGGAGTATGGAAGATCTTTAAAACTAAGACTCTAAATCTAGAATCCACAACAGAAAATATTTATAAATGGTCAAAAGTACGTTTTTTGAAGTCAAAAGACAATTGATAAACTAGTGAAAAAATTGTAACTCATATTACACATAGCTTATCCTCTTAATATATAAAGATTTTCTAAACATTTGGGGAAAAAATCAATAGGAAAATGGGCAAAGGACATCAACAGATAGTTCTTGGAAAAAGAAATATAAAAGTGCCTTAAGTATATGAAAGTACACTCAACCCCACTCATAATGAAAGAATGCAAATTAAAATGACACTGAAATTCTGTTTTTCCCTTAACAGATGGGCAAAAATACAAAGTTGGGCAAAACCTTGGTGAAACTATAGGGAAGCGGACATGCTTTTTCCTTTCTGGGTAGAAAGGGACAAGATATACCTTTTCATATTGGTATGATTGGGGCTATATTCTTGTACTGCCTATGTAAAATGAAATAAAAAGATAAATACGTTGCAAAAGGATATATCAACATGTTAACTGTTTCCCTTTTAAAACATAATAATATGGATTGCTTACAGATACATACACATATAATAAAAAAAAAAGAGAGCAAAGGATAGGGGATAAAGCTGTAATAATTTATTTCTTAAAAATAAAAGAACTGAGGCATATACTGCAAAATGGCCTGTATAATATTGATGGCATGTAAATAGGTGTCTGTTGTTAAATGTTTTATGATTTTTTAATAAAGATAAATAGCACTCATATATGAAACTCAAGTATAGCTCCCTAATGTCCTCAAGTCCTCTGGATTTTATAGTCCTGTAGTCACCTAGTTCTTTACATAAGTATTCCAGTGAAAGTAGTACTGCTCTCCATTCAAAGCACTTGATTGTCTTCAAATGACAGGAAATCTAAAGTTCTCATGGGCACCCTTCAATTAGAGTTTCCATTTCCAGTATACAGGAAACTGTCTCCTGCCACTGAAAGCAGCTCCCTTCTCTCTAGTCTGTGCTGCCCTAAATGTGACAGCTCCATTTCTTTGATTCCTTTAAAGCACCACAGAAGCCATGTGATTGTATGAAGATGACTATATTTTAAGAGGGTTGATGAATTTTTTGTTATCAGAGTAAAGCACAGTGAACAACCAAAAAATTAATATTAGACAATTTTACTTTTTGAAAGTTTCTTCGCCCTTCTGGACACCAAAATAATAAGTATTGTTCTTACCTGTTTCCTCTTCCCTTCCCTGTCCCTTCCTTTCCTTCTGTCCCACCCTATTCTTCCTAAGGCCTCTGACCATATTTCTTAGCCACCCAAGAATACTACAAATTTGTCTCATTTCCCTAGCATAGTAATTCATCCCTCCCTTTTATTTCTACTTTTTCTTTCTAGATCATGTTGGAAGAACTTAATGTTAATTCTCAAATATACTTTCAGGGTGTTTAAATTAAAACAGAAAGCAGTATATTAATATCCTTGGGCTGCCTTATAAAATTATGACAAAGTTGTGTCTTAAAATAACAGAAAAGTATTTCCTCACAAGACCTGCGGCCAGAAGTCTGATATCCAGGTTGTGGGTAGGGCTGCTTTCTCTCCAGAGACTCTTGGGCAGATTCCATTTCTTGCCTCTTCCAGCTTCTGGTGGTTGCCTGCATTTCCTGGCTTATGACCACAGCACTCTAATCTGTTATTGTTCCTTCAAATTACAGGAAACCTAACGTTTTCCAATAGTCACTAAAGTTACATAACCTTAGCTCTAGTCAATCAGTGTATGGCAGTTACTTGGACACAGTGACTCAAAGGTAAACACATCATCACATCACCCACTCCTCTGTGTGTCCCTGCATCTCTTTGTCTCTTGTTAGGATACATGTGATTTTATTTACATCTGGATACTCTAGGATAAGCTCCTCTTAAAATTCTCAATCACCTCTTTTGCCATATTAAATAATATTCAGATTCTGGGGATTAAAAAGTGAATGTGCCTTTGTAGGGGGCATTTTTTTTCTTTTAAGGGAAAGAAGCAGTTTTCTCCCTCTTTCCTTTAAAGTAATTTTCCAAATCTTTTTGTTTAGAAAACAAACTAATTATACAACAGCTTAAATCCAAGACCCTTGTGGTAGGAAAGATTTTCTTGGCAACATCTAGAGAATTAACATCTCTTCAAGTATCCACTTAAAAGATTTATGGTCCTTACCACAATATTGGGCCACAAAGTGGGCCTCAACTAATTCCAAAAAAGTGGTATCATGAAGACAATCATAATGGGTGCAACAAAGTTACGTTAGGTATCTTATTCTTAAATTTTAGTTAGATGTTAACATTAATCTAAAGCTTTCATTATTTATTCTTAAGCTATGACAGATAGACCCATTGGTAATTTCGCATGCCGTTTCCAAAATTACTCTTTTTTGTAATATTTTAATGAGGTGCTACCTTTGTCCAGTAACAGAATATTGTAACAATATTATAATATTTTATTTAAGCTATTTTCTCTCCATATGTATATTTAACACTTGCCCTACTGCCAGACATATTGGTCTTCCCTTTTTTTTTCATTTTCCTTTAAGATAAAGCAAGATCTGTCTTGAAAACAAATATTAAAAGGCCATTGTCATTCCCTAGGACCCCAGCAATAAAGTCTGGAACCCTTTTCCATTCTGATGTGGCCCCCTCCCTTTGACTTCAAGTGGACTCTTGCCCTCTCTTTGCCAAAATACATTCAGAAGACTCAGCGAGGTATTCTCAGGGAAATGTAAATGACTAAAGTCAATTCCAACCCAATATAACTCTCCCATTGTAATAATGGAGTGGTTATAGGAATACAATGAGTACAAAATTACAGATAGGAGGAATGTTTTCAGTTATATTGCAGTGTAAGGTGACTATATGTAGTTAACAGTATTATGTATTTCAAAATAACCTGAAAAGAAGATTTTGAATGTTCTCACAAAGAAATGATAAATGTTTGGACACCTTTGCAGGGAGCAGTTTCTATCTCTTCCTTTCTATCTCTAGTATGGTATCATAGCATGTATAGTTATTTTTCTTCTGATTACATGTTTATACAATATATGCTGAAGTGTTTAGTATGTGAAATATTGTTATTATAGAGTAACATATATAGTATAACTTATATCAGTAAGCTTTTGTTATGATTAACAGAAAACTCAATCTGGCTTAAATAGTAGAGGGAACTGTTGTTTTTATCCAATCAGAAAATCCAGAGATGGAGCAGGGTATGATCACTTTGACTAAGGTTTCAGTTTAATTTGTCTGAGATATTCTCAGTACTGCAGTCCTCCATACACTGGCTTGCTTTCAGGCTGGCTTCGTTTTTGGTGGCATGATACCTTCTAATAATAACTGGGGCTGTCCATATTACTGAACTAAAGGCCTGAAATTTACTCTGAGTGGACTCGTCACTTGTCTACCCTTGAGTCACTGTGTCCAAGTGACTGCGATAGACTGATTGACTAGAGCTGAGGTTATGTTACTTTAGTGAATATTTGTTATGCCATATACTTGATTTTCCAAACTCTCTTGTAACTGTGGCTTTGACATACAACCTTGGCAAGTCAGACACAGCTGCATTAGAATCTGAACCTGAAGCTAGTGAAAAAAGAAATGGATACACACAGAGTCCATTCTGTTGATGGTGACAGCAGTGGCAGTAGCTATAGCCATTTACCAGAAATAGCAGAGGCAGTGAACAGTTCTAGTGCCAGCATCAGTCATGTATTGGTATGACAGTCACTGCTATCGGGATCCATTGATGATGACAGACATGTTTTCATAAGACCAGTTCCGTAGATGATTTTGGCCATTGTTCTCAGCTGGATAGCTTGCAAGCCTAGTTCTGGCTCTCCTAGAGATTTTTAAATAAATCAGTGTGTTATTTTTTTATTTTACATTAGCCTAAATTCGTTTCTGTTATTTGCAACTAAAAACCCTTACTGATATAGTAACTTTCCCTGATTCGGTGTCTGGGGATTGGTGTTGCTCTTATTGTTCTAGACCAGTCAGAGCCTATTTCTGGAGCTGGGTATCTTATTAATTCCACCCAAACCATATGGCTGCTATCCAGTGAGAGAGAGGAGGGAAGGACATTGGAATAGCCACCCCTAAAAAAGAATGTTAGTGGTCTTTAATGTCTGCAAAGCAGACTCGCTAATTTGTTCTCTATGTTTGTTTTCTTCTGCCATTAAAGTGATACCAGTGACAATCTTTCTGAAGCAGATGAAACCTTGATTGTTATCGAGGCTATAAGAGAAGCTAGTTTGCCAAAATGTCCTCCTGAAGATGTCCCACTTTTTGAAAATATTATAGGAGATATTTTTCCAGAAGTGACAGTTTTAAAAGTAAATCAACTTGCCTTGGAGGTAAAAAGACCTTTGAAAATCATCACCGCTTATTTGGATGTGGAATATCAATTACGAAACTAGATGTGGATTAAAAATATTACAGTTCTTCCTAAATTACGTATTCATGTGGTAATTGAGGGGATAAAAACACTTGGAGATATATAGTGCCCCTTGGGGGAAAAAAAAGCTTTCAGTATATTATGTCCTAATGGAAATAAGAATGAACTGTGTACCTTTAGGCAAGGATGATCATTATATATTTTGTTTCTCAATTTTTTCATCTTTTGAAATGAGGATAATAGTTTCTGTTCTTCCCACTTTGAAAGGGTGCCTAGAGAATCAAATTAGATCAGCGTTATGAAAAAACTTAAATTGTAAATATTTTGTAATTATTAAAATTACATATTATAATGATAAAGACCTTTGTTGTTTCTTTTATGTCTATAGCCTCACAGTCATTGCCTTAGTCTAGGTGAGAACTCAGTGTCTCTTGTTAATATTTTTACATAGCTTCCTGCCACACCCTGCATTCCAATATTTTCCCATATGGCCACCAGAGTTGTTTTCCTAAAATATACATTTGATCACGTTAGCAAAGCAACTGTTGGATTAATGTTGCCTGCAGTACAAAATTTAAATTAAGTATTTTGGCATATAATGCCCTTCACAATCTGCTGGACCAGGTTGTCTTTTCAGTATATCCTGTTCTTCCTTCCTCCATCTCTTCCTTTCTTCCCTGTTCTTTCTACCTTGAGCTTCTGTTCTCTAACTTTTCCAGGATTTTATCAGGTCTCAGGCCATTAAACATGTTGATTCCTTTCCCTGAAACCCAACCTGTCTTCAAAAAAATATTTTTAAAATTTATTTAGAAAATAAACCACTTCATAATTATTTGTTCTTTAAATGTAACTAATAGGGCATGTACGTAACTTTATACACAACAAGCACAGAATTCATATTATTTCTGAGCACACATGAAAAACTTACACACACACAAAGACCATTCATTAGGTGATGTAGGAAAGTTTGAAAGACTCCCTTGAAAACCATCTGGACCAGGAGTTATGAGAGGAAAGCTCTTTCATGGTTCTAATCTGTAAAATTAAATCTAAAATTTATGAATTCAAAATTTATGTCTCTTCTAGTATCAATTTTGTTAAATAAGACAGATACTCCCATTTCATTCAAGTTTTAAAATATGAATATAGAGTTGAACAAACCACTATCTTAAGATTCTTTCAGTTTCATGTTTCTGAGATTATTTGCTCAATCATTTCTTATTTTCCTAATTTGTGTTTTCTTCCTTGATTATATCATCTAACAGTTTATCTGATATATTATTTTTTCTCAAAAAACTAGCCTTCTTTCTATTCATTTAATATATCTTTTTTCTGTTTCCAAACTCTTTGGTATCTGTTTTAAACTTTTAAAATATCCTTATTCTTCTGGGTTTTGTGTTTTTATTCTGTTTCCAGCTTTTTTAGTAAGAAGTCTAATTCATTTGTTTTCTTCTTCTTTTTACTAATATAAGCTTGTAAGATTTTCAAATTCCCTCTAAGTGCTGCTTTAGTTATATATACCATAAGTTCAGATATGTAGGAATTTCATAGTCATTTTTCATATTCATATTCATCCTGTTGTGATATCAAATACTAGGTCTTATTCATTCTATTTTTTTTCGTGCACATTAACCATCCCCACTTTCCTCCCACTTCCCCACTACCCTGCCCAGCCTCTGGTAACCGTCCTTCTACTCCGTATCTCCATAACTTTAATAGTTTTTATTTTTAAGTTGCACAGGTAAGTGAGAACATGCAATGTTTGTCTTTCTGTGCCTGGCTTATTTCAGTTAACATAATGACCAATTCCATCCATGTTGTTGCAAATGACAGGATCTCATTGTTTTGTGTGGGTGAATAGTGTTTTTGTGTGTAAGTACCACATTTTCTTTATCCAGTCATTTGTTGATGAACACTTAGGTTGCCCCCAAATCTTGGCTATTGTGAACAGTACTGCAAAAAACATGGAATGCAGATATGTCTTTGATATCTGATTTTCTTTCTTTGGGGTATATACCCAGCAGTGGGATTGCTGGATAATATGGTAGCCTTATTTTTAGTTTTTTTGACCAACCTCCAAACTGTTCTCCGTAGTGATTGTATTAATTTACATTTCCAACCACAATGTATGAGGGTTCCCTTTTCTCCACGTCCTCACCAGCATTTGATATTGCCTCTCTTTTGGATATAAGCCGTCTTAACTGGGGTGAGAGGATATCTCATTGTATTTCTCTGATGATCAATAATTTTGAGCATCTTTTCATTACCCATTTGCCATTTCTAAGTCTTCTGTCTTCTTTTGAGGAATGTCTATTCAAATCTTTTATCTACTTTTTATTGGATTATTAGATTTGCTCCTATAGAGTTGTTTGAGCTCCTTATATATTCTGGTTACCAATTCCATGTCAGATGGGTAGTTTGTAAATATTTTCTCCCATTCTGTGGGTTGTCTCTTCACTTTGTTGATTGCATCCTTTGCTGTGCAGAAGCTTTTTAACTTGATGTGTTTCCATTTACCCATTTTTGCTTTGGTTGCCTGTGCTTGTGGGGTATTACTCAAGAAATTTTTGCCCAGACCAATGTCCTAGACATTTTCCCCAATGTTTTCTTGTTAATAGTTTCATAATTTGAGGTCTTAGATTTAAGACTTTAATCCATTTTTATTTGATTTTTATATATGACAAGGGATAGGGATCTAGTTTCATTCTTCTGCATATGGATATCCAGTTTTCCCAGCACCATTTATTGAAGTACGTTCCTGACACCTTTGTTGAAAATGAGTTCACCACAGGTGTGTGTATTTGTTCCTGGGTTTTCTGTTTTGTTCCATTGGTCTATGTGGATATTGGTCTTTGTGTCTATTTTCTGGTCTTTTCCATTGGTCTGTGTGTCTCTTTCTCTGCCAAGACCATGCTATTTGGGTTGCTATAGCTCTGAGGTATAATTTGAAGTCAGGTAATGTGACTCCTCCAGTTTGTTCTTTTTGTTCAGGATAGCTTTGGCTATTCTGGGTTGTTTGTGATTCCATGTAAATTTTAGAATTGTTTTTTCTATTTCTGTGAAGAATGTCATTGGTATTTTGATAGGACTGCATTGAATCTGTAGATTGTTTTGGGTAGTATGAACATTTTAACAATATTGATTCTTGCAGTCCATGAACATAGAATATCTTTCCATTTTTTGTTGTCTTCTTCAAACTGTTTTATAGTTTTCGTTATAGAGATGTTTCACTTCTTGAGTTAATTCCTAGGTATTTAATTTTATGTGTAGCCACTATAAATGGGATTACTTTTATTTCTTTTTCAGGTTATTCTCTGTTTGCATATAAAAATGCTACTGATTGGCCAGGTGCAGTGGCTCATGCCTGTAATCCCAGCACTTTGGGAGGCCGAGCCTAATGGATCACTTGAGGTCAGGAGTTTGAGACAAGCCTGGTCAACATGGTGAAACCTTATCTATACTAAAAATACAAAAAATTAGTGGGGCATGGTGGCACATGCCTGTAATCCCAGGTACTGGGGAGGATGAGGCAGGAGAATCACTTGAACCCGGGGTCAGAGGTTGCAGTGAGTTGAGATTGTGCCACTGCACTCCAGCCTGGGAGACAGAATGAGACCCTATCTCAAAAAAAAAAAAAAAAAAAAAAGGAAAAGAAATGCTACTGATTTTTTATTTATTTGTGTTGCTTTTGTATCCTGCAACTTTACTGAATTTATCAGTTCCAATTGTTTTTTGGTAGAATCTTTAGGTTTTTCCAAATATAAGGTCATATCATCTGCAAACAATGATAATTTGATTTCTTCCTTTCCAGTTTGGATGCTGTTTATTTCTTTCTCTTGTCTGCTTTGCTGCAGCTAGGACTTCCAATGCTATGTTGAATAACAGTGCTGAAAATGGGCACACTTGTTGTGTGCCAGATCTCAGAGAAAAGGCTTTCTGTTTTTCCCAATTTAGTGTGATACTAGCTGTGGGTCTGTCATATGTGGTTTTATTGTGTTGAGGTATGTTCCTTCTATACACAGTTATTTGAGAGTTTTTATCCAGAAGGATGTTGGATTTTATCAAGTGCATTTTCAGCATCGATTGAAATCATTACATGGTTTTTGTCCTTCATTCTTTTGACATGATGTATCCCATTGATTGATTTGTAATATGTTGAACCATTCTTGTATCCCTGGGATAAATCTGACTTGGTCGTAATGAATGATTTTTAAATGTGTTGTTGAATTTGGTTTGCTAGTATTTCATTGAGAATTTTCATGTCAATGCCCATCTGGGATATTGGCCTATAGTCTTCTTTTTTTGATGTGTCTTTGTCTGGTTTGGGTATCAGGGTAACACTGGCCTTGTGGAATTAGTTTGGAAGTATTACCTCCTCCTCTATATCCTGCAGTTTATATATTTAGCCTTTTGCATGTATCAGTGTTTCCTACATTATCTAATAAATGATCTTTTTTTAGTGTTTATGCTAAAAAATTATATGTTCTGTGCCTATGGGCTATAAAGTTATAAACAAGTATATATAGCCTATTAATTGTATTTTTCAGAGTTTTGATGTCTCTAATTCTTTATTTATCCATCTGTTTCTGCAGGAGGTATATTAAGATTTTAAATCACTGAGATAGCTATTTCTTTTGCACATCTGTCAATTGTTGTTGTATATACTTTAAAGTTGTAAGTTGTATATGTATTCCTATATTCTCTTTTACCAGCATCCTATATCCCTCTTTGGCCCACTGGTGATTTCTTGCTTTAATATATATTCAGTCAGATATTAAAATTTTATCCAACTTTTTGATGCAAGGTTTATCTTTAGAAGTTCTTTTTCCATCCTTTTGTTTTTCAAACTTTCTTTTTTTTTTTTTTTGAGATGGAGTCTCGCTCTGTCGCCCAGGCTGGAGTGCAGTGGCCGGATCTCAGCTCACTGCAAGCTCCGCCTCCCGGGTTTACGCCATTCTCCTGCCTCAGCCTCCCGAGTAGCTGGGACTACAGGCGCCCGCCACCTCGCCCCGCTAGTTTTTTGTATTTTTTTTTTAGTAGAGACGGGGTTTCGCCGTGTTAGCCAGGATGGTCTCGATCTCCTGACCTCATGATCCGCCCGTCTCGGCCTCCCAAAGTGCTGGGATTACAGGCTTGAGCCACCGCGCCCGGCCTGAACTGTCTGTCTTATAGGACATATATTGGTGGCCTTTGTTTTCTTATAATCAAATCTGTGATTATCTGTCCTGTATTTACTGATTTTTAACTTTTTTTGTACAATGTATCCTGTTGTCTTAAGATACATTACTGTTATTATTGAATTTATTTTTGCTTCAGTATTTTCTCTCTTTTCCTGCTCACTATGGGGTAGATCGAGTTTTCTTCTTTGTTTGTTACGTTTATTCTCTTTTAGCTGAAGACTGACATTCATGCCTCTTTTAGCTAAAGACTGACATTCATCATTATTTTCCCCTATGATCAAAATGTTTTCATATCTATATTTGTCCCTTTCAAGATAAGTACTTTAGTACACTCTTTGGTCTTCCCCACACTTCCACTCTCATTATGTTAATGCTATGTAGAATTATAATTTCTGGTTGTTACAGAAATGTTTTCTCTCTCTTTTTTCCTTGGACTTCTGCATACTCATGCTTGTGCTCTCTCTCTTTTAGAAAATAGTAAGCTAATAAGAAATTGTTTCAAACTTACTTTTTATATCTGTTATAGGCTTATCTTCAATTTATTCCTCTTTTAGAGTACTTCTTCCAAGAGAGTTTTCAGAGTAGGTTTTTGTGTAGCAAACCTTCTGAGAACTTTAATATTCAAGACTGTTTTTAATATGCCCTCATATCTGAATGGCAAATTCGTTATAAAAGTCTAACTTCAAAGTTATTTTCCTTTAATATATTAAAATCTCTAATTCCTTAAAAATATTATTCCATTTTCCTGTTGCTCCAGGGTCACTCTGAAGAAGGTCAATGTCACTTCAATATTTATTCTTTTATAGTGTATCTACTTTTTCTCTTCGTATGCTCTTAAAATTTTCACTTTACCTTTATGTTCATAATATCACTATAAATTCTCTAGTTATGAGTTTTGGTACTCTATTAGCCCTTTTAATATATACTCTTATTTTTAGTACCCTAAATTAACAGGAGTCTTAAACTGTGAGATTCTTTGTTTCACATGATTGAATGAGTTGGACTTTTCTGGTTCAAGAGTTTGCAGCATCCAAGCTCTAATAAAACTAAGCTATTTTCTTAGTACTTACATGTGTTCTGGATTTTATAGATTTTCTTTGGTATTTTTAATGTTTATTTGTTTGTTTGGTTGGTTTTTGAGACAGGGTTTCAGTCTGTCACCTAGACTTGAGTGCAGTGTCCTGATCTCAGCTCACTGCAGCCTCGACCTCTTAGGCTAAAGCAATCCTCCTGCCTCAGCCCCCCAAGTAGCTAGGACTACAGGCACCCACCACCATGCCAGCTAGTTTTTTATATTTTTTGTAGAGACAAGGTTTTGCCATGTTGCTCAGGCTGGTCTTGAACTCCTAGGTTCAAGCCGTCCATTTGCCTCAGCCTCCCAAAGTGCTGGGGTTACGGTAGTGAGACACTACGCATGGCCTCGTTTTTTTTTTATTTTAGTGAAAATACAATTTGATATTTTTTTTCCTTGTTGCTCTGTGAGATTTTCAGAAGTACAATAGATACCTGTCTTTAAACTGGTGCCAAGATTTTGAAGATTTTGATTTATATTTATATTTTGAGAATTTTCATTTAGTTTTTTTTTTTTAAGAAAATAAAAATATCAGTTGGCAGGTTTTGCTCTCTCTCCCTTTTATAAGCATTCTTTCATCTCCCTCTAGCAGGGCCTACAAACTTTCCACTCTTCTCCAGTTATAAGTTTTGGGTGCCTCTTGTGTTAGTTTTAACATTTTTCAAGAATTTCCACATGCACATCAATGGTTTTACTTTTGAGCCTTATTATATATTCATCTTTTCATCAGCTTTACAGGTCAGTATATGTGGCAGTCTGAGCTTATGGAAAAGTTTTCTATATAAACACACCAGTTTATTCAGCTACCCCATTTGTATTATACCCACATTTGTATAATTTTTACATTAATAACTATGCAAGCTGTCAACTGTTTAATAAATTGTTACTCACCAAATTATGTGATTCATAGAAATATAGAAATGTCACAAAGATCAAAATTTAAAATTATAATGATTTTAATATTAAATTTGGAGTAATTCAGTTTTTTATTTAATGTTGTATTTTTGATGACTTACACAGTGACCAGCCATGTGTAACACATCCACATAGTAATATATCTTATTTAAAAATATTCTGTAGTTGTGCTCTTTATACTGTTTGCTCACTTGAGGTACAAGAATCTGAATCACATTTAATAGGCAATTGTGATCTGTCTGACTTATTTACATATCTGTCTCTTACATATCCAAAGTGAGTCATTATCTCCAAGTAACTAAAAGATTCACTGAGAATTATTGAAACCACATCACTGAATAAGAACTACATATAGTTTGCCATCCAGCTGATTCTAAGGAACATCATATATAGTCATGAATATTTTATAGTAGGATTATGATTTTATTTCAAAACATTCCAAAGTAAGAAATTTGTGAAACTCATTAGCCAGGTGGGATAACCTATCTGAGTATCTCTTTAATTATCCCCACCCTATGATCTGTGCATACAATGCTATTCTTATTCTATACCTGTGTGACTTCTTGCTTATATTCAGGTAGGTGTCTAGGCTTATGTTATTAACTGCAGAGGATTCATAAGTTCCGGCCTGAAGTGGGCAGTCTCATAAATTCCACTTAAGAGATCAATTCCATTTAATCTTTTAAAAAATTCTGCCAGCTGATTGCCTACCTGCAGTTCTTGCCATAGAAGCTGCCTTTTTCTCCATTGTACAGTCCTACTGGGTATTTCCTTCACCTGCTTTGTCTCATTGTAGGGATGCAAGGAATGAAAACTGGAATGGAAGAGATCGGTGCAAAAGAAAAGATAAATCCCACTTTTTTCTGTAGACATAGTTACCATTCTATCTACAGTGAAATAAACCCTCCTTTAGAAGGGTTTCCCTTATAATACCTTAGTTAAAATATTAAGTATCTTTCCAAGCTGCAGCTGCTCTTTGGAATATTTTAATTTATAACATCATGTCTTTAATCTTGTAAATTTTATTTACTGTCTTAAAATATTCTTAACATTGAAACACTAAAATAGTCATTACAAAATTGAAAACCTCTCTTAATAGTGATTAGAATTACAAAAAGGTCTAGAACCTTTTATGTTTTCTTTTAGTGTAGGATAATTAGATGGTTATACACTGGTAACCTCTGGTAACCTCTGGTTTTTCAATGTTAAACCATGGATTCTTAATCTGGGAGAGGATCTATGAATTTGCTATCAGGTGTCTGTGAACATAAAATTTTGTGTTCCCTGTATTTTTCTGGAGACAGTAGTAATAGTTTTCATTATTCTCAGAGACAGAGGTTGGTGAACTAAAAAATCAAGAACTACTGTCTTAAAGAGCAGTAATTGGTACCTAGTTAAGAGAGATTTTGGAAGACAAAAATTTAAGGGTTCAATTTGCAATGCATTTTAAATTTATGTGTTTATTTCCTTTTAGAAAGTAATATGTATTGCAACTCAGCAATTGGGTTTACAAAACTGGTCATCTCAGAAAGAGAAGATTATACAGTTTTATAATCAACTTCAGGTAAGTATAAAATGACATGTTAGCAATCCTTTGCCTGTGTTTCAATAGGAATTAACAAAATAAAGGGCAAAAATAATAATAAAAGAGAGATGTTACAGGTATAATATTTTTTGAATTCAGTGATTTATTAATTGTTAGTCAAGACTTTATTATTTGACTTTCACATAACTCAACAAATGGATCTTTTCACCTTCATCTCCTTAATACATATACATAAAAACCCTGCGAATGTAATGTAAAATATCCTGCATTCCATTGCTATACCTTCTTTGAATTTCCTATTTTCCATGACTGAACCATTTGGATAAACATCAGAATATGCATTTCCCTGATTGCTAGTAAGATTGTATATCCTTTTTTATACTTATTAGCCATTTGAGTTTTCTGTGAATTGCCAGATTATGTTATGTACTCATTTTTTAATTGGGTTGTTTGTCTTTTTCTTAGCAAACGTATAGATTTTTCATTATGCATTTATATATCATAATTTTTCTTTTTTTTCTTCTCTTCCTCCTCCTTTCTCCTTTCTTCTTCTTCTCTTTGTCCCTCCTCCTCCTCCTCTTCTTCTTCTTCTTCTTCTTCTTCTTCTTCTTCTTCTTCTTCTTC